ACCTTTCAATCCACAGCAACATACATATATAAAACCCCACACTGAATCACAGAAATAAAGCACCAAAAATATTTACATAGCAAAATACAACAGAAGGCTCCAGGATTTGCTCAGTGTACTCAGTGTACTGGTAGGATACATGCCAATAATAATTTGAGGGAAAGTGTTTCAGAATAGGAGATACAGAAATGCTTCCAGGAATATGAATCATGAATGTTACGAACACACTAGAAGCTATATTTCATCAACGCTGAATGTATCTGTTTCCCTTTCTCCACCCAAGTCATAAAGCCTTGCAGCCATTGTTGCTTAAGTAAGCCTTGTCTGCATCAAGCTTTTTTTAGCTCTGATTAATCAGGGTGTAGGGGAGCAGTGGGACTGCAGAAACTGATCTGGATAGGGGGAAAGGAGATTTAAGAATCAGTATCATCATGATTAATTGAAATGGCGAGATTTCACTCCAGAACAGCACACTTCCTCAAGTAGGGTTGCCAACCCCCAGGTCTGGGCGGGGGTTCCAGCTGCAGCCACCCGCAGCCACCTGTCTCCCTCCTCTCCTGCAGTGATTTAAAGGGCTTCAGCTAATTGGCAGGGAGCACATGGCCTGCTAATTAGCCGGAGGGCTTTTTAAATCTTTCACCAGGGAGGGAGAGGGGCTGTCATCAGCCACAGCTCCACTCGCAGCTCCACTCGCAAAAAGACCCTTCAAAGGGTCGTTTTGCAAGTGGGGTGGGGGCTGTGGCACACGTGGGGCTGATTTTCCAGTGGTGATTCACCACTTGGGATTCAGGTCCATGCCACAGCCCTACTCACTGTGAGCCCCTTTGAAGGGTCTTTTTGCAAGTGGAGCTGTGGCCAGCAATAGCCCCTCTCCCTCCCTGGTGAAAGATTTAAAGGGCCCTCCAGCTGATCGGCAGGCCACATACTCCCCATAGATCAGCTGAAACCCTTTAAATTGCTGCAGGAGGGGAGGGAGAGGGGTGGTTATGGGTGGCTGTGGCTTGGGGGCAGGGCTTGGGGTGTCCCTCCCACCCCCAGAATGCCTCCCAAATCCTCCCACTGGAAGGACGAGGGGACCTGGCAACCCTATCTTCAAGGCTATAGTATTGTTCTGTTTTCTGAGCTGTGAGAAGTTCCAGGGTCATCACACTGAGTTGAGGTTCCTCTGGATGGGAGTGTATTGGAAACTTTGTTCGAAGCTTAGCAGAGACTGGCCAGTGTAATAAATGCCTGGGCAGCAGATTCCGGTGCTCTTGGGGAGGGGGAAGTATTGCGGCGGGCCGAGGCGGGGTTTGAAGGGAAGGACACAGAGAAACAGAATGGCTTGGCATCCTTCCAGCCTATGGCTCATCCCAAGGGTGGCTGGCAGTGGGGCCAGGATGGAGAACCCCCCTCCGTCATTGCTGTTGTGCAACGCCAGGTCCATTAACAACAAAACCACAACCCTTCGGGATTTTGTGATTTAACATCGAGCTGACCTGGCGTGCGTGACTGAGACCTTGGTATGGGAGGGGGAGACGGTAGCTCTCACCCAGCTTGCCCCACCTGGGTTCTCGATCCTTCACCAATCACGGACTAGGGGGCGGGGGGAGGAGAGGTTATCTTCATTCGGGAGGTTTACTCCTTCTGGACGCTCCCGGTAGTGGAGATCGCGGGCATAGAGTGTGTTGGCTTGATGCTGGAGGCTGACGAGAGTTTGGCGATTTGGTTGGTGTACCGACCACCTAACACACTGGCCAATAGCCTGCCATTCCTGCTGGAGGCCGTATCAGGCTGGGCACTGGAGCACCCTAGGCTGATTGTCTTGGGTGACGTCAACGTCCATGCTGAGGACGCGACCTCCAGTCGGGATATGGACCTAGTGTCATCCATGGCAGCACTGGGACTCTCTCAATTCGTCTAGGCCCCCACGCATTGGGCCGGTCACATGCTCAATTTGATCTTCGTGGCTGGGGTGACAGTGGACCGGATCACTGCAGAGATAGTGCCATGGTTGGATCACCAGGCCCTGAAGGCCCGTCTGAATGTTCCACCCCAACCTTGTTTAGGCGGCGAGTGGATTTTTGCTCGCCCACGGTGCCAAATGGACCCTATGCGGCTCTAGATGGCCCTACGGGGTCTGAGGGCCCCTGGCAGCTTGTTGGATGGGCTGGTGGAGGACTGGCATGTCCGGCTCTCCTCAGCCATCGACGAGATCGCTCCCAGGCGCCCTCTCCGCACTCGTTCTAGGCAAGCGCCCTGGTATAGCCAGGAGCTGTGTCAGCTGAAGCGAGAACTGAGATGGCTAGAGAGACGGTGGCGCCATGCTTGCGACGAGGCATCAAGAGCATCTTATGGGACGTTTATGAGATCCTATGAGATGGCAGTCAAGGCCGCAAAAAGAGACTTCTATGCGACCATGATTGCATCTGCTAGCTTACGCCCAGCCCAATTATTTAGTACAATTCAGTCTTTGACAGCTCTGCCACAGGGCAGGCAAAATGTTAGGGAAGTGGACATCGGCTGTGAGGCTTTTGTGAGCTATTTTGCAGATAAAATCCTGGCGCTCCGCCATGACCTCCCCACCACAATTGAAACAGTGAGCAAACTTGAGGCCCCTTGCACATCCTTGGTGCTGGGTTTAGAGTGTTTCAACCTACTCAGCCTGGAGGAAGCTGACAGATTGCTCGTATCTGTGCATCCAACCACATGCGATCTTGATCTGTGCCCCTCCTGGCTCATTAAAGCGGGCCACAAGGGGTTCCGAAGTGCCCTGCAGGAGATTGTCAACAAGTTCCTCTCGGAGGGACGGTTCCCCAGGGCACTCAAGGAAGCAATGGTCCGCCCCCTCTTGAAAAAACCATTGGCCAACTATCGGCCGGTGTCCAATTTGCCCTATTTGGGCAAACTTATTGAGAGGGCAGTGGCGTTACAGCTACAGGGCTTTCTGGATGATGCATCTGTCTTCGATCCCTTCCAGTCTAGCTTTCGCCCGGGTCATGGGACGGAGACGGTGCTGGTCGCCCTGACTGACGACCTCCATAGGCATCTGGATTGAGGTGGTGTGGCTGCACTGTTGCTGTTAGATCTGTTGGCTGCGTTCGATACGGTTGACCACCAGTTGCAGACCCACCGCCTCGCTGACGTGGGGATTCAGGGGCTTGCCCTTCAATGGTTTGCCTCTTTTCTCCAAGGTCAGGGACAAAGGGTGGCGATAGGGGATCGGCGGTCCCGGAGGCATCCTCTTGAGTGTGGGGTGCCTCAGGGGGCGGTGCTGTCCCCGATGTTGTTTAACATCTATATGCACCCCCTTGCCCAGATTGCCCGGAGTTGTGGGCTTGGGTTCCATCCATACACAGATGACACCCAGCTCTATCTGATGTTGGGCAGCCAGTCGGACTCCACCCCAGATGACCTTCATCAGGCATTACAGGCTGTGGCTGGTTGGCTCAGACTGAGCCGGTTGAAACTAAACACGGCAAAGTGTTTCCTGGGTCTGAGTTGGATCGGTTCGGGGTTGGGGCTCCCTCTCCCGACTTTTGATGGGGCGCCCCTGGTGCCGGCATCGAAGGTTAGGAGTTTGGGTGTGCTCCTGGATTCCTCCTTAACGATGGAGGCCCAGGTGGCAGCCACTGCCAAGTCGGCCTTTTACCACCTTTGGCTGGCTTGGCAGTTGGTCCCTTTCCTTGACCATGATGACCTGGCCACAGTGATCCATGTGATGGTCACCTCGAGGCTAGACTACTGTAACACTCTCTACATGGGGCTGCCTTTGTCACAAATCTGGAAGCTGCAGCTAGTGCAGAATGCTGCGGCCAGGCTGTTGATGGGCCTCTCTAGACGGGATCACATCCACCCTGTGCTGAAAGCGTTGCACTGGCTGCCAATGGAGCACCAGATCCGCTTCAAAGTGCTGGTTCTTACCTTTAAAGCCCTACATGGCCAGGGTCTGGCTTACCTAAGGGACCACCTTTCCCCGCATGTTCCCCCAAGGGCACTACGGTCGGGGAGTCAAAATCTCCTGGTAATCCCAGGCCCCAGGAATATCAAATTTGCTGTTACCAGGGCCAGGGCTTTTTCAGTGGTGGCTCCTACCTAGTGGAATGAGCTCCCAGAGGAGATCCGGGCCCTGCGGGACCTTGCGCAGTTCTGCAGGGCCTGTAAGACGGAGCTCTTGCACCTGGCTTTCGAGTAGGAGCCGCCGCCACCACTATTCCATCATCGTTATCCTCCATCATCGCACCTCTACCACCAATTGTGTGGGTACTAAATGGGGTGTGAGACATCCCTGGATGAAGATGGGATGGTTGTGCTGCTAGGAGGTATGTTGTTGGTCTGGAATTAATAACTTGCTCCAGAACCCCATCTTGCAATTAATGATTATGTGACATCTAGAGCACTGACACTTTAGTGTATTGTATTGTACTGTTTTATTCTTCTTTTACTTGTTTTAACTTTGGCACTTATGCCTCTTTGTTAGCCACCCTGAGTCTTTGGGGAGGGCGGGATATAAATCCATAAATAAACAAACAAACAAATAAATATAAATAAACTTAAAGGTGTTCAAAGGTTCTGTTCTGCTAATGATGGTGCCTGTTGGGAACCCAGAGATGTAGGGGTGCTTTGAAACTCATCAGGGGTCCCCAGGGCTCTGGAAACATCTCACTTTCTCAAGGAAAATGTGCAATGTGTCAGCAAAGTGAAGATGTGGTTACCATGGGGAACAGTGCTCAGAACAGCCAAAGTGGTAGCATGTCAGAGAGCCACCTATGGCTCTTGAGTCACTGGGTGAGCATCAATGAGTTAAGGTCTGCCACTTTTTTCCTATTAAGGCTTCTGTGCCTTTAACATACTGGGGATGAGAGGATGGAAACACTATTCCTAAATTAGTTTGGCAGTTGCATAGAAGGTAAAACAATGTTTTTAGTTTCATTTTCAGTGAAACTGATTGGCTGATGAAGTATTAGTCAGAGTTTGTCATTCTATCCTCTTTAAAAACTTCCTGGTTCTATTCAGTTATTTTTCCAGCCCTGTGCTCACTCTTCACATCATCAACATGGTGCATGTCTGAAGATCAAAAAACAGCCAGAGAGGTAAGTGAAAAAGGAGCTCCTGTTAGAGATTTCAGTACATTAGGTTTGGAATTTGTGGATCACACCCTAACCTAGCCTGATAGGTTTGTTGATCAACCATTTTGTGTAAAGAGACAGTATTACTGTGCTTGCTGTTCTGTTCCGCGGTGCTTTGATGTCTTTTTTATACCTTGCACCACATAATATAAGGTAGCTACCACAGAGCTGTTTCGACATAGCAAGTGAAGATATATAGCCAGTTATAAGAAGATCCTTGACTTGGTCTGCATCCACACATTACTGGCCATTGCATTATCATTGTCTTGGTCACAGAAGAAAATCCAGTTAAGAAAGGTTCCTGTAGCATAATGAGAGCATACTAGCCAACAATGTGATGACGCAACCTTAAAATGTAGAACAGCTTGTTATGAAAAATTTTGTTCTTAAAATCTCGGAGCTTATGATTATATTGCCATTTGCAAAGGCGATACAATAGTCTGATTTGAGTGACAAGGAGCTGGTGTAAAGATGAGAAGCCAGGTTCGGATCCAGTTTGGTGTGGTGGTTAAGAGTGGCACTCCCCACTCCTGTACATGAAGCCAGCTGGGTAACCTTGGGTCAGTCACAGCGAGCTCTCTCAGTTCCACCCGCTTCACAGGGCATCTGTTATGGAGAGAGGGAGGGAAGGTGATTGTAAGCCGCTCTGAGGCTCCTTCAGGTAGTGAAGGGCAGGGTATAAAATGAACTCTTCTTCTTAATTAGGAGATATAATTAAATAATACCCCCTCTTTCATGCACTAATTTCACTCATGTATTAATTAAAGTGAAACTGACTACTTTTCCAAACTCGGATTAAAACTAGGTTCTGTAACAGCATACTTGGCTTCATTTTAAGAAGGCTGGGCTCAGTCATACCTACCAAAATTGGGTAGAGGTGGATGGTGAGGAGGAATTTGTGTGAGAGTGAGGAGGAGTGAGGAGAGCAGTGGTATGCCTCGGAAGGGAGGGTGGAGTATAAATTGAATGAATAAATAAATAAATTCCGAAATCTGAATCAGGCCAGGTTAAATATAGTGGGTCTTTGTTACTTCTGGAAAGACTTTCTATTTCAATGCTTAATTCTAGAATTTTGGTTGATTATTAGTACATTTTTATCTTGCCCCTCCTCCATGGAGCTCATGGTGTCATACATTGTTCTCTGCTCCTCCCTTTTATCCTCATAACAACTCTTTTAGACTGAGAGACTGTGACTGGCCCAAGGTCATCCAGTGAGTTTCAATGCAGAGTGGGAATTTTAACATGGGTCTCCCAGAAAGCAATCCTAAGTATTTCTATGCAGAATTCTATTCAAGTCTACTCAGTGGGGTTTACTCCCAGGAAAGTAACCTTACTATAGCACTACCAGATACTAGCCTGACACACTGTGTTACTTCACACTGGTGGTAATTCAAGGAATTCTTTTTTAAACATCTGAATAATTTATCTGGTTTTCTTTTAGCTTTTGAAGGCATCTGAAAATTACTTCGGCATTGGTTATAACATGTCTACTCCAAATACTAAAAATGTGGATGAAATCTGGAAGAAATTCATAATGCTCATATCTTTGGAAATCAATAAGCCATTTCCATTCCTCCACATCTTAAAAGAGGCAAAAATAATCTCTCAAGAAGCGTTTGAGGTGAGTATTGTTATTTATGAATTCACTTTATAAGCTCCAGCTATGGAGTTCATTGGGTCTTTTCTTATTCTTTAATGCGAATAGTTTCTTCTTTTCTTAAATGAGCTGTGGGAACAGGAACTCAAGAGCAACACTATATCTGAACATAAAAGTTCCAATGGCTAATAGCCATTGATAGACCTTTCCTCCAAGAATTTGTCTAATCCCATTTTAAAGCAGGGGTCATTTGGGGGGGGGACGCGGGGGGACGCCATCCCCCCGGGTGAGGTGCGGGAGGGCGGGGCCTGGAGCTCCCTGCTGCTGCCCACTGTTGGTCGCCGCCGGCTGTGGGGAGAACACACTTCCGGTGATGTCAGGGGGTGTGGCATATGCTAATGAGTTATGCTAATGAGTCCCCCTAGCTCTTTTTCTACGAAATGACCCCTGTTTTAAAGCCTTCTAATATTACCTTTTGTAAGATGTAGAGAGCCAGTTTGGTATAGTGGTTAAGTGCGCAGACTCTAATCTGGGAGAACCGGGTTTGATTCCCCACTCCTCCACTTGCAGCTGCTGGATGACCTTGGGCAAACCATAGCTCTGTCAGAGCTGTTCTCTCAAAGACAGTTCTGGAAAGAGCTCTCTCAGCCACACCTACCTCACAGGGTGTCTGTTGTGGGGAGGGGAAGGGAAAGGAGTTTGTAAGCTGCTCTGAGACTCCGAGTGAAGGGCGGGGTATAAATCCAATCGCTTCTTCTCTTCTTCTTCTTCCATGCCCCCACAAACATGCAAACATACATCCAGATTAACATGGGGAATTAGCTTGTGTATTTGTGCAGGGCACAGAAAACAGAGATCTTTTTACCTACAGAGGTGGCTGTGAGTAGCAAGTTTTCAGTAGGAAAAGGGTGACAGAGACCTGATTTAAAAGGAACACAGAGTTTATTGGGGGATTTGGTAAAATAGTGTGTAGGGGATTTATTCCAAACTAATACTAGTGGTACTAAATCAAGGCACAGACACATTCCTTATCCTAATTAATAGAGCAACACAGGCCCATATCCAGGATTTTTTGGCTTGTGGGGCATATTTTTTTCTTGCGGGGAAGCTGGGTGGGCTCGCTCAGCTGTGCTGCTTTGATTGATGCCATCCCATACTTTGACTGACACATTTTCTGTTTGTAATCCATAAGAATTCCCAGCAGAACTAGTGCAATGTACTAGTGTCCAGCAGAACCCAGTGCCCCTGTGGCAATGCCTGCTCAACAGGACTGATGTGAAGCACAGAATCACAATCCAAACAAGGAGGGTTACAAGCCCAGCATGATCAGTTCAGCGTACAGAATACCCAGCAGAACCCAGTGCCACTGTAGCACTGCAAGCTAAAAAGGACTGATCTCAAAGCAGTGTCACAAGAAATCCAAGCAAGGGTTTTTTTTGCAAGCCCAGCATAACCAGTTACAATGTGCAGAATGCCAAGCAGAACCCAGTGGCACTGTCATTGCAAGTTTAAAAGGGCTGATCTCAAAGCAGAACAGCAAAAAACCGCGCCGGGGGGGGGGGGGATTTTGCAAGCTCTGTGCAAGAAAATGGGAAGGGAATACAAAGGAACCCCAGCAAGGGGGGGGGGGCTCTTGAAACTGACAAGACTAGTTTGAAACTGACAAGACCAGTGAGCAAGCCCATAGAAAGCCTGAGACACAGAAACAAAAAAGAAGCAAACAGACAAAAAACAAAAACAGTCCCAGGAGCCTGAAATACCAGCTCCCAATCTTTCTGGAAAATCCCAAATGTATCTGGTTTTTCAAGGAGAGGATAGGGGGGGGGGGGGTTGGTTTTTTAAAAAAACCGAGATATGTTTGTGATGCTGAAACACACTTGTAAAATACCAATAAGGGGTTGGGGGGGGGTATATTTTCAGCTTGTGTGTATCCAAATGCACACCCTTCCAATGGGCCCCCAAGACTGAATACAGACATAGGATTCTTATCTCACAGCAGATGATAATTTGCTGCCCCTAAGCATTTCTCCTCTGCTCCAATCAAGCCGCTTACAATGTGTCTTGTACCTTTGCATCCTGAGTCCCTTTGCGGCAACACCCCTTCCACTTTCTGACCAGGATATAATGTCTTAGGGTTTTCCATTCCAACTTGTATCAGATGAAAGGCGCTTTGACTCTCAAAAAAATCTCATTGGTCTCTATGGTGATATTGGACATGAATGTGGCTGAGTAAAGATTTGAATCCAGGTCTCCTAGTCTGGCACCATAACCACTATATCACACTAGCTGAATCTGTAGTGTTGTCTGACCCCAAGGTGTCATGTCACTTGGGGAACACATCCTGTCTGCACACAAAAGCAGAGGTGCTCCCAAAACATCCACAGGTTATGAGCTTGCTTCCAAAGAATGTGTAATCTGAGGGTAGTTGTAGCATTAGTATGAGCTGTAAATAAAAAATAGGGGTTTTCTTGTTCGGCTATGTTCATCAATTTAGTTCCATTCTACTTTTGATTCATCTGGGTTAATGATCAAGCAGTTCCTTATTACAAGTAATGGTAAATGGTATAGGAGATGGTTGCTCTATATTACCAGTCTATAAATAGGTCTATGAATGCTCAGATGAAACAAGACTCTATATTATTTCCTTCTAGAACTATAAAAGGGAAGCAGCTTCAAATCCACAAAATATTGATGAAACAATATACAATATGCTGGAAAACCTCGAGTTCAGTGAATTAACATACGGGAAGGTCTTCTGCAAGGAGAACTTGGATGTGTATCAAGGCTTACAGCCAATATACACAAATTTAAAGAATGGTATGTGTTCATGTTGGCTGTGCTAAACCTGCCAAGTTAGTTTTACAGATAATTACCAAAAATTGTCCTGACCTAGATAGCCTAGGCTAGCCTGATCTTGTCAGATCTCAGATCTAAGCAGGGTTGGTCCTGGTGTTCCCTGTAAGCTGAGTTAGTGTGAACTAGCTCACAAGTTTTTAGCCTCTGGCTCACACATTTTTGTCTTAGCTCAGGAAGGATGGCTCCAGAGCAAACTAATTTATGCAGCACCCAAATCGCTCACTCACAGCTTTAATGGCAGTAGCTCACAAAGTAGAATTTTTGCTCACAAGACTCCACAGCTTAGAGGGAGCATAGTACTTGGTTGGGAGACCTCCAAGGAAGTCCGGGATTGCTATGCAGTGGCAGGCAATGGCAAACCACCTCTGTTGGTCCCTTGCTTTGAAAACCTCACAAGGGGTTGCCATAAGTTGCCTGTGACTTGACAGCACTTTCAACCAACAAAAATTATCAAATATTTTGCAGGCTGGTATATTTAGTGCCTGAGAGTGTGAGCCGGTAAGTCTCTCCTTTGAATTATGTTTTGTCATGAAGTCACAAGGCAATAGGTAAGACGTGGAGCCTCAGGCCTCCCTCTGTAATACTGATCTTGTAAAGAGAGGATATTCTTGAGGCATTTTAAATACGTGGATACTGTTAACAGATCAAAGTAACTGCATATATTACTATCATCAGTCTTGTGACATTTTTATTAGCAGCTCATTGTATGCATCCCAGAATGTACTATGTGGTTGGAGGGAGCTGTTACTTGGTCAGAGTAAATGGTTGACTATATTTGCTGACTTCAGTTAGGGGCTGCAACTAAAGTTCCTTGGGCCAAATTTCACTCCTTGGGAGATACCACTCTGGCCTATCACATTATTTTTTCCTTCTCAAACAGCCCCTTCTGGTCAGAGCGGTCACTGTCAGGACATGTGGAATACTTATTTACTAGTGTTGTTGGCTCTGATGCCATTAAAAAAATTACATCAAGCAAATTTTTTAAAAAGATTGTTCAAACATGATGACTTACATTTACTTTAGATGCCGTTGAATTACAAATCAGTTACAGATTGTGGTTGATTTTCTTCAGAGTTCCAGCATGCTGAAAATAGGTCTGCTTCAGAACAGAATACCAATCCTGTATCCTCTACTGGAAATGAGTGTGAGTACTAACAAGTATTCTTTTTTTCTACTCTGAAACCAAGAAGAATTTTCAAAAATTGTATCTGAAAATCTGTCAGGTCACACTTGCTATGGTCTGTTAATCCAGGCACAAATGATAATTATTTATATAACCCCATTTTCTCCTGCCAACTCCATCTGAGGGAAGAGGTTATGGGGCCTGGGCTGTTTAAAGGAAGAAGGGGAGAAATAGTAGTACCTTGAGCCCACTGCCTTTTGTGGCTCCTAACCAGGAAGGAACTACCAAGAAGGAATTACCAGGAGGCAAAAGTACAGTTTTAAAACAAGTCCACAGACACTCTTCTAAACTTCCAGGGTTGTCAAAATTCTCTGTCCCTTGTATACAAATAAGTTATAGACTGTGGTTGATTTTCATTGTGTTTTCATCAGTACTCCAGCATGCTGAAAATAAGTCTGCTTCAGAACAGAGGAGCAGTTCCAAAATCTCTACCGGAAATGAGCGTGAGTAACAACAAGGTCTTGCCTGTTTTGCTATTCTGAAACTCAGGAGAACTGTCAAGTGTTGTTGCAGTAGATTCCTCCTCAATCTGGCCTCAGCTGTTTTCTTTAAAATGCCCTGTCTGTCTGTTACCCAAACTGGCAGTCTCCTACTTAATTGGGGGGAAATTAGCTTAATTGGAGACACAGTGAGAGGGGGTAACTGGGATCTCCACCAATGTATATCAGGATATTCCCTTGAGAAAGCTCTCTAAATAAACCAGTCAGATATTCAGCTGGAAGTTGTTTTATTGAAAAATAATCAAAGAGCAAAACACACAGGTGGAACACACTTGCAAACACACAAACTAACTGAGAGGAAATCAGGGAGGAGGGGGAGAGAGTGATTTTAGGGAAGGTGATATTTGCTGGTCGAGAAGATCGAGATCTGCAGAGGCAGCAAAATGGCCAGCATTTCATGAAGAGGAGAAGAGGACCCACACACATGTGGGTGTGTGATGTTTAGCGCTGAGAACACACAGAGAGACTGGTAGCTGTGAACTCCAGATATAGATGAAGAAGAAGAGATTGGATTTATACCCCGGCCTTCACTACCTGAAGGAGTCTCAGAGCAGCTTACAATCTCCATTCCCTTCCCCTCCTCACAACAGACACCCTGTGAGGTTGATGGAGCTGAGAGAGCTCTTTTGAGAACTGCTCATGAGAGAACAGCTCTGAAAGGACTTGTAACTGACCCAAGGTCACACCAGCAGCTGCATGTGGAGGAGTGGGGAATCAAGTCTGGTTCTCCCAGATTAGACCCTGTACTCCTAACCACCACACCAAAGTGCTTGCCCCCAAAACAATACCTTGATGGGCTTTCCAGGGGATAGACAAAGATTTAGGCGAAACATTGATGGACTTCCATGGTGTGAACTAAATATATTAATGTTCCTTGATGACTCTTGAGTACAGGATGGGAGAAACTACCGGCCTGTATGAATAGTGTTAAATATTGCATAATCAAGGTAAATGGGCAAGGGAGAGCATGACCGGGTGTGGACAAGGTTTATCCAAGTTGAGGTAATATTTTCTTGGGAGACCCATTGTTGTCAATTATGCATCTCTTTTGGGTGGGGAGGAAGGTCATTAGCTGGTCAACCTCTATGATTCACCTACCAAAATATTTTCTCAGGCTCTTACTTGCCCAGCATCCATTATGTTTGTACGAGATCCATTTTAGTTTCACTCTTATGCCAGGCAGTGCCCTGCACATTCAGTTTTAGGGTGATATTAAAGAAGGGTGTTCCTCTTTCTCTTAGTGCTGAACTGCCCCTCAACGCGAGGAGGAGTCTGACTGCTAACATGTCAGGTCACCACACTTGCTATGATCTGTTAATCCAGGCAAAGATGATTATTATCTATGCAACTCCATCTGAGGGAAAAAGTTATGGGGCCTGGCTTGGTAAAAATAAAAAGGAGTTAAAGGAACAAGTGTCTCAAACTCAGTGGCTTCCACAGCTCCTAAGGAACTACTAGGAGGCAAAAATGCAGCTTCAAAACAAATCCACAAATAGTCTTCAAATCTATTAGGGATGGGTTATCAACAACCGGGGGTGGGGTGGGGGACACTACTCTGCCCCCTTTACAGAGGTTTAATGGGAAGTTATTTCCCAGGTGATGTTATTTACTTCCATGCCATGAAATTAATCACTTGCTCATTTCCAAGCATTATGCTTCTATTAAAGGAGTAGATCATTTTGTTCCCCAAGTTGTAGGCAGCCCTAGCTTTTGCCATTTGTAAATACGAACTAAAATTATGTGTGCCATCAAGTCACTTTCAACTCATAGTGACCCTATGAATTTGTTGTTGTTCAGTCGCACAGTCGAGTCTGACTCTTTGCGGCCCCATGGACCAGATCCCGCCAGGCCTTCCGGTCTTCCGCCGTCCTCTGAAGTTGGCTCAATTTTATGTTTGTTGCCTCTATGACACTGTCTAACCATCTCATCCTTTGCCGTCCCCATCTTCTTTGACCTTCAATCTTTCCCAGCATCAGGGTCTTCTCCAGTGAGTGCTCCCTTCTCATTTGGTGGCCAAAGTATTTGAGCTTCAGTTTCATTATCTGGCCTTCCAGGGAACAGTCAGGGTTGAATTAATGACCCCCAAAACATCCTATTGTTAGCAGCCTTGGTAATTTTTTTGCAAACCAAAAGGGCCCTGGCTTCCTTGATTGAGTCAACCCATCTCATGTGGGGTCTTCCTCTTTTCTTCCTGCCTTCAACTCTTCCTAGCATTATTTTCTTTTCCAGTGACTCTTGTCTTCTCATAATATGGCCAAAGTACAATAGCCTCAGTTTAGTCATTTTAGCTTCTAGGGAGAGTTCAGGCTTGATTTGATCTAAAACCCACTTATTTGTCTTTTTGGGCATCCATAGTATCTGTAAAACTCTCCTCCAACACCACATTTCAGAAGAATTTGGCCCCATCTGGCTGCCGGCTGCAAGGCCACCTTTGCCTCCCCTGTAGGAAGGGAGCAGACGCTGCGTAGCAGCATCCAGGTGCTGGGGAGGGGAGCCAGCTAATTTGAACAGCTGGCTCTGTTCCTGCCTCTTCAGTCGTCACAAGGATCTTGGTGGGGAAGGAGCTGCTGTTTTTTTAGGCCTCTGCAGTGGTCCTCTGGGTGGCCTGGGGATCATGCAGAGAGGACAGTGGCAGCATTGATGGTTTCAGTGAAGGCAGCAGTTTCTGTGGTGGCAGCATTATTGGTCGCAGCTTGTAGCAGTGGTGGACCTCGGCAGCTTGGCTGTCCCAGGCTGAGATATGGGTGGTTTGGGTTCAGGCTCTGGTGGCGGCAGGCAAATACCAGCAGGCCTTGTTCGCCGTTAGTGTGGTTTGGTGAGGTGCCTTCCCTTGGTCGTGGCCTGGGGGGTGGGGTTGATCAGTGCTTTGCTGGCTGCTCCCTTTGTTCCCCTGTGCCTCGTGGGTGTTTGGCTTTCTTTTTTTTTTTTTGGTAAACAAATTTTATTTTCTCAGGAATACAACATATAAAACATTTCATTCTATCAATTGTCTACCCCATTCCCAGTTCCTCCCCTCCCTCCAATGGCTTCCCACAATGCTTCCACCCCTGCTCCAAATTACTTCATATCATCAACAATATCAGTTTTTCATCATTACAATCTAAAGATAACATCGTTTGACTTAATATTGATCTAAACATATTAAGTTTTGTTTCACATCCCAGTTCTTTTCCAGATAAATTTTAAAATCATTCCATTCTCCAAAAAACTCATCGTCTTCTTTGTTATTCAGTTTTTTTGTAATCTTATCCATTTGTGCCATGAACAGAACTTTTTGTATCCATTCTTCAACCTCTGGTACCTTTTCTGTCTTCCAAAACTGAGCATAAATCATTCTCGCTGTCACTATCAGGTACCAGAGTAAAGTTTTTTTAGTCGTATTGACTTCTTCCATTTTGAGTCCCAAAAGCAGAATTTCCGGTGCTTTTTTAAAAGAACATTTCAGTATTTTTTGCATTTCATTGTGGACTTTTGTCCAAAAGTCTACAGCTTTCTCACAAGACCACCACATATGATAAAATGAGCCCTCATGCCTCTTACATTTCCAGCATTTGTTTGACATATTTTGATTCATATTTGCAATCTTCTTAGGTGTCATGTACCACCTATACATCATCTTATAACAATTTTCTTTAACATTAGTACATGTCGAGATCTTAATAGAGTTTTTCCACAAATATTCCCAAGTTTCCATATCTACTTCCTTATTCATATTAATAGCCCATTTTAACATTTGTTCTTTAACAGTTTCATCTTCAGTATACCATTTTAACAACACCTTATACATTTTAGAAATATTTTTTCCTCCTCCACTCTCCCATACCTTTTCAATTTCATTTTTTTCCTCTCTAAAACCATAGTTTTTTTTGTCAGATCTAAAAAGATCATAAATCTGCATATATTTCAACCACTCATATTCATATTCAATTTCATTCTGCTTTTTCATTACCCACTCTGTTCCCTCTTTTTTAATTAAATCTCTATATGGCAACCAGTCTCTACCTCGCTGTCTTGAGTAAGATATCAACACTTCTACTGGTACAATCCACAATGGTCTTAAGTCACTCTGGTACTTCTTATATCTTGTCCATACCATATACAAAGCTTTTCTCACCAAGTGAAGTTTAAAAAAACTGTCCATTTTTATCTTGTCATACCATAAATATGCATGCCAGCCAAATCTACAATCATGCCCTTCCAACCCCAACAATCTGTCATTTTCAAGCTTCACCCATTGATCCATCCATGTTAGACAAACCGCTTCATAATATAGTCTAAGATTTGGCATTTGTAGACCTCCTCTTTCTTTGGCATCACAAAGTATTTTCATTTTGATCCTTGGTTTCTTGCCTGCCCAAACAAATTTTGACAACTCTTGTTGCCACTTGGCCAACAAATCCGTTTTATGCAGAATTGGTATTGTTTGGAACAGGAACATCAAACGTGGTAGGACATTCATTTTTATAACTGATATTCTTCCCATCAGTGATAAGTTCATTTTATCCCATTTCTTAAAATCTTGAGTCAGCTTAGTCCATAATTTCTCATAATTATTCTTATATAGGTCTATATTTTTTGCCGTTAATTCAATTCCAAGGTATTTTGTTTTTTTAACTACTTCACATTGTACCAGTTCTTGTAGTTCCACTTGTTTTTGTTTGATCATGTTTTTACATATAAGTTTTGTTTTATTCTTATTTACGTAAAAGCCGGCCAATTCTCCAAACTCCTTTATTTTTTGAAAAAGCAATGTCAATTTTTCTGTTGGGTTTTCCACCATAAACATTACATCGTCTGCAAATGCTCGATATTTGTATTGGTGTCCTTTATGTGTCAAGCCCTTTATTTCTTGATCGTACTGTATTTTTTGTAAAAGTATTTCCAATACCCAGATAAATAATAACGGTGATAACGGACAACCTTGCCTTGTTCCTTTCTGTACTTTGAAGTTATCTGTCAGTTCTTTATTCACATTTATTTTAGCTCTTTGTTCAGAATAGATAGCTTCAATACAATTTCTAAAATGTTGTCCCGCTTCAATCTTTTCCATCATCTGGTGCATAAAATTCCAATTAAGATTGTCAAAAGCTTTTTCTGCATCAACAAACAGAAAAGCTACTTCTTTTTCTGGGTGCTTTTCATAATATTCAATTGCGTCCATTACTATTCTTACATTGTCTCTAATCTGCCTTTTGGGTAAAAAGCCCGCTTGATCTTCAGAAATTACCGTTTGTAAATAGTTTTTCACCCTTTCTGCAATAATTTTTGCAAAGATTTTATAATCGTTGTTCAAAAGAGATATTGGCCTGTAGTTCTTTACATTTGTTGAATCTTGTCCTTCCTTTGGAATCAAAGAAATAATTGCTTCTTTCCATGAGTCCGGCACCTTTTTGTTTTCTCTTATTTCGTTGGTTAAAGCTTCCAGGACCGGGGAAATTTCTTCTTTCATCTTTTTGTAGAATTTCGCTGTAAATCCGTCCGGCCCAGGCGCCTTCCCCAACTTTGTCTCTTCTATTGCCTTCATCACTTCTTCTTTTTGAATTGGACCATTTAATAAATCTTTGTATTCCTTACTTATTTTTGGTAGTGGAATCTCCTTTAAATATGTTTTAATCTTCTCAAGATCAACTCTAGTTGTTTGGAATAGTTTAGCATAATACTTGAAGAAACATCTCTTTATTCCATTAGGATCAACGAACTCTTTTCCATCTTCTATTATTTTGGTTATCATTCTTCTCTCTCTTCTAGCCTTAAGTTGCCAAGCTAAGTATTTTCCCGGTTTGTTCGCCCCTTCAAAAGATTTCTGTTGTAACTTCTTTAAATTCCAATACATTTCCTGATTCCAAGTCTCATTCAGTTGTTCCTTCAGCAACTTTAATTCTTTAATAATTTGCTTTTTTCCAGGCTTCTTTTTTAATTCCTTTTCTTTCTGAGCAATTTTTTCTAACACTTCTGTTTGTTTTTGAAGTTTTTCCTTTTTTTGCTTCACGTTTTGCGAGATGAGAATTCCTCTCATCACCGCTTTATAAGCATCCCATACAATCTGTATCGGTGTTTCTTTATTTAAATTTTGTTGAAAGAATTGTTTCGTTTCTTCCTTTAACATCTCAATTACTGTTTTCTTATCCAACAAGTCTTCATTAATCCTCCACAGAAAGGGTTTTTTCCTTTCTGTGGAACTCCATACCACCGGATTGTGATCTGAATTACATCTTGGCAAAATTTCAGTCTTATGTGTTTTCATTGATAATTCTTCAGACATCCAAATCATATCAATTCTGGAAAAAGAGCAATGTCTATTGGAATAAAAAGTAAAGTCTCTCTGCATCGGGTTCCATTTCCTCCAAACATCTTCTAATTTTTCTTGCTTAACTAATTCAAAAAAATTCTTTGGCAGTTTTCCGCTGAATTCGTTGTCCTTTTGTGGTTTTCTGTCTACACGATCTATTGTCCCATTAAAGTCTCCGGCCATAATAACTTGCTCATAAGTCAATTGTTGTAATTGGTCAGTTATATCCTTTAAAAAATTTTCCTTTGCTCCATTGGGTGCGTACACGTTGATCAACAATGTTTTTTTCTGCTGAATCATTAATTCCACACCCACGTATCTGCCATCTATGTCCTTAAAAATTTCTGTAGGTTGTAACTCCTTCACATATGTCACAACTCCTTTTTTCTTGTTTGAGGCCGCAGAACAAAATTCAATTCCAAATAAAGCATTCTTTAAATATTTTATATCCTGTTTTCTAATATGTGTTTCTTGCAAGCATATCACGTTGCATTTCTGTTTCTGTATCCAATGATTGATTCTTTTCCTCTTGTTTGGTGAATTTAATCCATTAACATTCCATGACAACAATTTGTACTCCATTATGCGTTTTATTTTAAAGTTCTCCAAAGACGTCTTTGGACGTCTTTGGTGTTTGGCTTTCTTACCGCCCCTACTCTACTGCTGATGATTGAGTCGGCTTTAGGCCCTTGTACTGGTCCCATCATCTGGGAGCCAGGGCTGCACAGCAGGGTTCTCCCCCACAGCATGGCACCTAAAAAGGGTTCTGGTAAATCAAAAGACAAGCAGCCAGCCTCTAAGGCCCCCAAAGCCCCTCCTAAAAGGCCATCCCTGAGCCTTCTTCTTTGGATGAGGAGGATGGGATGTAGTCCAACGAGCTATTCTTGAGAGGCTAATGACGCTTGAACAAGCCTCAGGAGTCACTCCCCCTGCTCTGCCTTTGAGCAAAGGCAAGGGAGATAAGAAGGGAGGTAAGAAGTTCGGTTTGCATCCAACATGCAGTTTCAGGCGTCAGTGTTAACCCATCTTTCTGTTCTAGAGGGCCAGTCTTTCAACCCGTCAGGGTTTGGCGGCAGAGGGCAGCCCGTGGATGAGAGCGAGGATGCTGTTGCTGGGCCTTTTGGCCAAGAGAAGCCTGCAGGTTCAGATGTGACAACAGTGGCAACTGGGGCACCTGGTCCAGCTGGTGAGTCTAACACCGCACAACAAGCTGGGATGGTTTGGCCTTGGGGGCCCTGGTGTCAGCCACCTGTTTCCAGGTACCTGGCCCCCCACCAAGACACCCAGTCTTGCTGCAGGATCCGTCCTTGCCCAATCCTGGGATTGGGTCCCTAGACAGTTTAATCCTGCACAGGCATGGGATGGGTATGCAAGTCAGAGTCCAGAGGCTTTTGTGGCTCCCTGGAGGGTGTGGAGTCCTCCAGCACTGTGGGGCCCCCCTTATGTCTTAGAGCTGGTTAAGGCATTGCCTTTTGGGGACACAGCCTTGCCGCTGGGTGGTCATTTGTTGCTGGCAACTAGGGACAAAATAGGTAAAGGAGAGTTCTGTGTTCTGTGAAATACACAACTTTTGCCTAAGTGGTCCGTGTGGTGCGGCGCTGTGGTCCAGGGACAGAAATGGCAAAATATGACATCAAGTCGGCATTTCGCCTTCTCCCAGTGCACCACAAGGATTTTCAGTTGCTGGGCTTTTTATTTGAAGGTCAATTTTATATGGATAGGGCCCTGCTCATTGGATGTTTCGTATCCTGCACTGCTTTTGAGCACTTCAGCTCATTCTTAGAATGGGCTGTGCGGGAACAGTCTGGTTTTTGGGATGTCACACACTACTTGGACGACTTCCTGTTCATGGGCCCGGCAGGTTCTGGACAATGTGCTGCATTGTTGGCGAGTTTTCTCGGGTTTTTTTTTGATCATTCAGTGTGATGTCATTCTGGAGAGATGAGATGAGGCGTGAAGCAGAGTAGGGTTGCCAACTTACTTTTTGCCGGGAGCGGGGGGCTCCCGGCTGGCGTCCTCTTCGTGCGCGCGCACTGCGCGCGCGCCACCCGGAAGTGACATCACACGCTGGGGGCGGGGCGATGCCATTTGAGGGGAAAACAAAGAGTTTTCCCCTCAAATGGTGTCACCCCGCCCCCAGCGTGTGACGTCACTTCCGGGTGACGCACACGCGGGGGTGGGATTTCCCCCGGGCCCCGATTCCGCAGGAGCGGGAATCGGGGCTCGAAACCGGGGGGAATTCCACCCCCCGGGGGGATTTGGGACCCCTAAAGCAGAGCTTCAGGTTACCTCTGACGCAGTGGGCTCCATAGGATTTGGGGTCTACTTCCATGGACACTGGTGCACGGAAGCAGGGCTATTTTTGGGCAGGAACGCACAGGAACGGAGTTCCGACTGGCTCCCAAGTTGGCCACGCCCAGCAGGAACCCATTAGCATAATAGGCCACACCCAACAGCAGGAACTCATTAGGATTGGCTACATTAGATGTGTGTGACCTAACATGCAAAGGAGTTCCTGCTACAAAAAAAGCCCTGGGTTTTGACCACAAACAAGGTCAACAGAATAAGAAGCAAAAGGTGGGTGTGGCTTGATAACCACACTTCTGGTAACATGGGGGTGTGGCCTAATGTGCTAATGAGCTGTGCTGTCAGGGGGTGGCCTAATATGCTTATTAATTTCTGCTGTCGGGTGTGGCCTATTATGCTAATGAGTTCCTGCTGGACTTTTTTTTACAAAAATAGCCCTGCACGGAAGAGTGGCCTGCAGATTGGATCACAGCTGGTATGGATTGGAATCTTACATTCCTTGAGTTCTTCCGCATCCTGGTGGCTGCTTGGTTCTGGGGTCTGAATTAGCCAATCACACCATCCACTTTTGGTGTGATAACTTGGTGGTAGTACACGTTAATTCCCTCTCATCCAAGTCTCCACAAGTCATGAGGTTAGTCACATGATCCACTACTGCATTGTACTCAAGGATAGGGGACTGCATTGTAATCAGAGATAGGGGATTACCTGTAATCCTTAAGGGATTGCAAGGGGTTTGTGATGAGGTCTGTGCGTCTGAGTAGGAGGCATACCTTTTTCACGCGGTGGCATTAGTAGCTTTCTTTGGTGCCGTCTGTGTTAGTGAGCTAGTTGCTCAGTCTCGGGATGACAGTTCCAGGCATGCCCTGTTTTTGCCCTCACAGGCTATGTGACACCTTGAGGGTTGGGTGAGGGCATGTTGTTTCAGCACTTGGATGGCACTAGACAAAGCATCAATTTTGTGTGGTGACTGCCCCTGTCCTGGCTAAGCTGGGCCTATCGGGGGTGAAGTTCAGTACCCATTCCTTTTGGATTGGGACAGCTTCCATGGCCGTGGCCCTGAGCTACTTGGCTCCAGCAATTCATAGATTGGGTAGGTGGCATTCTGCAGCTTACAAATCCTATGTGCGCCCGTTAGAGTTATTGGTGCCTGTTTAATTGTGGTTTCCAGTTGGAGAAGATGGGTTCTTGTCTGAGGGCACAATTTTGTTTTTTGGACTGCTCATCGGGCATGGAGAACCTCTGTTGGCTCTCAGCCGGGGCTCAGTCAGTGGGTGAATAGAGAGTGGAGGGGGCGTCGGGGTCTGCACTGGTCAGGCTTCATACCTTTGTTACTCAGTAAGGATTCCAGCCCTCCACCCAAGGGGTTATGTATTCACTTGGGTGGTAATGACCTGCGGTTGGTAAAAGGCAAGGCCTCGGTGTTGCAGGCTATAGATGACTTGCAGGCCATACAGCACTTATAGCCTGGGGTCCTGATAGCTTGGTTGGCCATGATACCACAGCAGGCTTGACAGAATGTTTGGGACCCCATGGCCATAGACAGGCCCGCTGAAAGGCTAATAGGGACATCAAGAAAGCCCTAGATGGGAGGGTTAGGCCACTATATACCACACCCTTGCATTTGGCCTGAGTGTGCTGACCTCTACAGAGCTGATGGAGTACATCTCTCCAAGAAGGGTAACGACAACCTTTTGGAGGATTTATGGAAAGGACTGCAGGAAGCTTGGCCTTTGCAGGATTGTGCTGGATATTTTATGTGTGGCCAAGGGAGCACCAATTAGCACCACCATTTGGGGGCTAGGAGTCTGGCAGGATCAGCAGGATCAGCCCTTGGGTTGTATGACCTGGGATGGGGAATGCAGACTGCCTTTTGGGACTACCTGGATTCATCCTCCATTTAAATTGTGTGATTTGGGGGTGGGGTCTCCAGGGCATGGTCCCCTTGCTGTGCTGGTCCGGATCAAGCCATACCTATTGGTTGGAGCTGGGGTGGGGTGGCTCACCCGTGTATTATTTATTTATTTATTTAGAGATTTATATCCCACCCTTCCAAGTGGCTAATGCCGGATTAAATAGATAAAATACAATAAAACAGTATTACAAATGGCTTATTCTGCAAGGAGTGTTGAGGCAATCAAAGCAGGAAAACATATTTATTTATTTATTATTTATATTCGTATCCCGCCCATCCCGCGAACGGGTTCAGGGCGGGTAACAGCGTAAATAATAAAGCCCAAGCAACATAATTAAAGATAGAATCAGAATGGTTCTCTTTCTCAGGCCTTCCACAGTTCTCTCATGGGCTACTTTCACACAACTTTGGCTCTAAATAAAGATAAGTGTTCACGTTGGCTGTGTTAAACCTGCCAAGTTAGTTTTACAGATAAGTACCAAAAACTGTTGGAAACAAACAACCAAGACCCCAAGGACACAGGAAATTAATTTCTTGTTTTCATCTAGGAAAAAGGGTACAGAAGCAGAAACACCAAAATTCCAATATCCTAGAACGTATGTATAAGATGGGAAAACTGGATGTACGCTGCGGAAAAGCGAAAGGATTTTTGTTTAAAAACAAATTTGCAGAAGGTAACCGTTTGGAAAGGCATAAGTGTGTTTTAAGTCTGTTCAAGGTATTAGATACAAATAGTAGATTAAAATGTTTCCTTGTGTAGTAGGAAGGAAGGATGTAGCCATGTGATCAGCATGTATCACTTGTATTTTGGAAGACCATTTAAAATTGTTTTTTCATTAAGACAATAGAATCTTTCATATATCACCTTTCTCTGGGGGGGTCAAGCATGTTAAAAGAGTGTAGTGAGTCAGACGTTTCTGTGGTTTGCCGAGTCTATTAAGAGAATCCCCTCCTTGTCACTGGCTGTCCTCTGTGATTGCCTTATCTCCTCCCTAATTAGGTCTTCTAGCGTCTTCTATGGCAGAGGCTGTCCGAACAGTAGACATTATCTGCTCTGCCTCTGTTGTATGGATCGTGGGAGGGGATTACTGGTACCATAAAGAAAGCAGTAGGTGTTAGATGTAGTTAGATGTTTTTGACAGCTTTTATCGACACTTTATTTCATTGGCTAAGATGTTCATGTGTTTTGCTGTTTCTTGATTTATTCTAAGTTGTTTTGAATACATTATAAGGAGAGAGAGGATATAAATATTCTAAAAAATAAACAGTGTCATGCTGGATTTCCAGGTTGAAATTGCTTTCCCAAGTATTTCCTTTTTTTTTTTGGTTATGACTTTTCCTATGTAGACATTGAATAAGAATCCTGTTGGCAGAATTGCTTTAACTGTTCAAAATACATGTTATCCATTTTATTGAGAATAACCAAAATTACATAAAACAATGTGCAAGCTTTTGAGGATCAAAAGTCTTCGTTGGGCTAGATTTTTTTAAAGGTGGTGTCCGTGGGAGTGGTGGTAATGGTTCAAATCTCTTAAGTCAGAATCCTTTGTAGGCAGACTTGAATAGTTACATAGTACTGGGTGTGGAACTGATATCAAGTATCAAGTAACATGTTTAGTCTTTTGGAAGAAGAAAGGAAAAAATTGAGCCTTCCAGTTGAAAATATAAAAACAGCAGTAGCCATCCTAGAAATCTAAATGTGCCTGGCATTCTATAGTGGATGCAGACAAGATGCCTTAAGACCACTGCCTAAAACATCTCTCCCGCCCCCACCTCCCATTTTAATATCCTACCTGAGAAAGAATTCTGGCAGAACATGAAAACATACATGGTGTTTTGGGGTGTTTTGGTCCCAGCAAGAAGCATTATGTGGTCTTTGGTTCTGGATTTTTCTTTGGACCAATGGCTAACCACCTGCAATTTCTGTCTTTCTGCACATGGTGTCATTTTTTATTGTGTTTTTTTAATAGGCGTCTCAAGCAAATGTATCAAGGATGATCGTGGAAATTGGTTCACTGTAGGAGAGTTTGAAAAACAGGGAGGTCGTGGAAATCAGAAAAACTGGAAAAAAAGCATCCATTGTAATAGATTTCAGTTAAAAGCATTAATAGAGGTATGTTGCTCACTTGTACTAACATTAATGACTTATTCTCTCCTTCTAATGCCAAAGCAACTGGCCTTATCAGATGACCAGAAATGTGTTTTATTCTTAGCATCTCCACTGTCCTGTTATGTCCCCGTGTCTCATGTAGGCTTGCCAAGTCCCCCCGGGGGGCGGGGAAACCCCCGCCCCAGAGGCCCGTTCCCCGCCACTGGCAGATCGGGCCCCGGGGGGAACCCCACCCCCAAAGCACGCGACGTGCACGTCACCCGGAAGTGACGCGGGCACGCTGGGCATGCTGGGGGCGGGGCCACAGTAATCCGAGGGAAAACTCTATGGTCCAGGGAAAATACGCTACCGGGACCTCATGGCAGTCTGCTAAGCGGTGCCCCAGAACTACCCCCAACCTGTAGGGAGAAGCATCACATGCTAAGACAACCGGTAAAGTTTCATCAAAATGGGCAAGCACCGCATTCGATGTCAACAGTCCCTTAACCGCCCAGAAGGCGACATCCTGGGCGACTCCCCAGGCCCAGGGAGCGTGCTTGTCGAGCAGCCGGGGGAGAGGCTCAGCCACCGCCGCCTTGTGGGGTAAGAAGGAGTGGTAAAAATTTAACAGGCCCAAGACAGCCTGCAGTTCGGATTTGGACGTGGGGGTGGGCGCCTGAACAATGGCACGGACCTTGTTGACAGTAAAGGATATATTTGTCATAATAGCTTGAACAAGTATCTATGGGAAGTACCAAAAGCAGCTGAGTTACTTCTAAGTCCAAGTGGAATTCTGGGATTCTGTCATTCTATGATGTTTATTTCAGAATGGATGTCTCCGAAACCCATCACGAACATCTCCCAAGAAAAAGAAGGTAATGATTCCTGAACATTTATCAGATTGATTTGTTACTCACAAACTGCCTAATTTATCCTGAGAGCCTGTTAACATACTTTGTTTATAATGTTGTTTTTTAAGAAAATAAATAAATCTCTCTGCTTTTGACTTGATCTGATTATCTGCTGTGAAGAAAATCCTTTCCCATTCATTTCTATCCTTAGTGCAAATTGTACTGTTATAATGAAGGGTGGCATGGACTCTGCGACTGCATGTCTTTTTGCAGAATATGGTTGCTGTAGAACTTTATCAAAAACACAGGTGACATGAGTACTAGTGGACAGAAAATTGTCCCATTCCTTCAGTACCAATCATATATAACTGTGGCTTCTGGCTCTGTCACAGCTCTAGAAACAGAATCTTCTTTAGGGTAGCATCCATTATCACTAGATATTGAACTATTCTTCACTGCTGCACTCATTTGCAAGTGGATTATCCTGTGTAGGCAAGAAGTCAGTGGTGCAAAAAAAAAAAAGAGCAGGTATTTTATTAAAGGAATAATGCTTACATGTTTTGTGTTAGCTTCATCACAGGCTGCAGTAGAATACTTGTCCTTTCTGCTCACAGCAATATTCTTTTTGTGACTGTGAGCAGAAAGGACAACTATTCTAGTAGATCTGCTGATGAAGCTAATGTGAAACACCTAAGGATTATTAATTTAATATCTACTCTTTTTTATTGCAACACTATCTTCTTGCCTCCTTTTTTTCTTGGTGACTGCCGCAACCCTTTGGATTCCCACCCTGTGTAGACAAGCCAGTACAGCTGCAAATGATTGCTATAGCACAATGAGAGTACAATACTGAAAAACATGTGGATGCAGCCTACGAGTCTATGTACAGAGCTATACTGTGTAGAGCATACTATTAGAGCAGCACTGCCACTACTGCGTGGGACAAGTGAAGGTGAAAAGGTGATCCCACCCTTCCACACACAGAAATAGAAATATCAGTGCAGAACGATGAGGGAAAGTCATGATTCACCAGGCCAAACAAAACTAGGACTTCCAGTTAAGATGGCAGTGTAATGAGAAGTAACTCTCTGTGCTGCTCCTGTCTCTTCTTCATATCATGCTTTGATTTGGACCTGTTTTGCTTGATATTGCGGCTATTCACTCTAGTATTTTACTTACGTTTGTTTTTATTTCTTCTGATAAGTGGGACATCAAACCTGTGAGCTGTAAAGGAAAAGAAATGACAGCTGCTGAACCTTTTGGCACTGATTGTCAAGAAGAGGTAATTCCTTGGCTAAAAACATTGGCTGCTTGGTTGGAAGAACAGCTGAAACATCAGTCTGAAGAACTACAAAAACTTTTTGATAGCAGTAAGATGATCAGCTATTCAATACAACAGCTTCGGGGGACAATTCAGTCTATCGATGCATGAGTTTCCATCTGATTTTCAGCTGCAAATTGAACGTGTTTATCAGATCCCTTATGTACCTAGCAAAACAAATAAGCCAGCTCCTGTCATTGTGCAGTTCTTGAGAGCCTGAGATCACCATTTCCACCTTGCAAGATGTAAGAAGGATCTTTGTTGGGGTCCTAACAAAATTCAAATCATGCTCTATTCAGATAACACCAAAGAAGTATCAATGCAATGGCAGCAGTTTACAAAAGCATGAAGTCTTGCTAAAGATATGAACCTGCAATTTTACAATAAATACCCTGCCATTTTATGCATGCACTATCAATGCCAGATCAAAAAGTTTCAGATCCCAACAGCTGCAGAATAATTTCTCACTGGTCTGCAAGATCTACGCTCTGTTGCTCCAAACCCTTAAGACTGTATTGCAGAGAAATAAATAGCCTATTGCAGTCTTTTGAAGAAAACTGATAGTTACTATCATTTAAAGAATATTAGACTATCTACTTCTAATAATCAGCTCGGCTGACAGTTGAGCTAAGAAAATTTCCCCCCTTGCTTCTCAGTGTCTCCAGTATTATGTTTTAACTATTAGCCACGAGGTGTAGATGAAACACTATGTCTGGGGCAGTGATGTTCTGTATTCTTGGTGCTTGGGTGGGGCATCAGCGGGAGGGCTTCTGGCCCTGCTGGTGGACCTCCTGAGGGCACCTGAGTTTTGGCCACTGTATGACACAGAGTGTTGGACTGGATGGGCCATTGGCCTGATCGAACATGGCTTGTTTCATATTCTTAACCATCTGGGCCTGCCACCTGCTTGTAGGTAATGGTCTGGGTGTTTTGCTGTATTTTTCTCTTTCTTTCTGTCTCCCCCCCCCCCTTTAAATTTAATTTTAGGCCTTAAACAGACACTTCTGTGACTTCTCTCCCCTTTGTTTTATTCTGTCATTATTGTAATTGATCCACATATGCCTATATAATTAAATGGATGGGAATGGCTGGTGATGTAGAGACCTCTGGCATTTTACCTAGAAGAAAATAAATAAATAAATAGTTTACTTTGCTTATTTTTCACTTTTTTCTGTTTCTTGTTTCTTTTTTTGTTTAGCGATGGGAATAGTGTTTTGTTTTTTGCATAGCCGCAGGGGATTTTTCCCTGCTTAACAATAACATCTGAACTGCCTTATCCTTGCTCATCGTCTACCCAGCGATTCGAAAGCTTCAGCAAGTAGATAAATTGGGGACCACCTGTAAGGGGGTGGGCACACCCCTCCCTTCGGGAAGGTGTTAACTGCCAAGGCAACTTTTGAGGCACGGCGACCAGAAAGACGAAAGAGCTGTGTTGGCTTCCCTGCAGTGGAGCGAGTCGGCCAGGTGGTGGCAGTGTGTGGCTGCACAACATCAAGAAGCCAGACGTCATCGGCCAGCTGACGACAAGATGCCGTAGGAACACGACTGACCCAGCCCGCAGAGGAAGCCCGGCTAGCTGCAATGTGTGTGTAATTAATGCTGTATGTTTGTCTTCCCTATCCCCACAAATATTGTTAGTCCAACTGTCTCAAGAGTAACTGTAAATCGCTCTGAGCCCGCAGGTATGTGGGAAAGAGCGATCAATAAATCGAAAGCATCATCATCATATGTATCAATAAATAGTAGGGTTCTCTACATGATACTTTGTAACATTTCTGCAGCTGGGGAATTGGCATTGTGGATCAGATATATTATTTTTAAGTGTTACGTTCAATGTGATCTCATGGAATGTTAAGGGCCTGAGGGATTCTAATAAACATGAAAAGGTTATTTCCAAGTTGAAAGGTGTTAAAGCTGATGTGGCTTTTTTACAAGAAACATACGTGTCAAAGGTAAGAATTACTTGTGTAAGGATTGGGTTGGTGAGGTATATGTTGCTGATAAATCTAATCGATTTAAAGATGTTACTGTATTGATGCACAAGTTTCTTTTCAAGTTCAGTACATGAATACAGATCCAAAGGTCACCTTATTATTTTGGTAATGAAACGCTGATTCTATTAGTGTTATGATTATGGTCCAATGTGGATTCTCCAGACACAACTATATGTTGGTGGGGGGAGATCTTAATGATATACTAAATACAGCTTCAGCCCAGAGGTGCTGCTTTACCCTAGGGTAGCCCCAACAACAGAGGCACCCCACTTTTTAATCTGAGCCAGAGACCCACAAACTCAAATGAAGGAAGACACTTCTGGTTCTGAAACACAGAGCAAGCCATCTCTGGAAAAAGGCTCTCCATTTTCAGGTGCCATAAGCCAGCCCTCAGAGCAAAACTCCAGTCTTCTCCCCACACCCAGCAAAAGTATGCATATGAAACAATGGGTTCCAGCAGGTAATGTATCTGCATTTCTAAAGCTATTCAGAGGTCACCTGTCAACTAGCCCTTCTATCTCCAGAACTTCACCTAGCTCTTTTTGTGTGACCCTATGTCTATGTCAGAATCCTTTGTCTCCAAACCTGTCTTTCCTGCTCTATCCCTCAGGATACCGAGATAAACCAATCATACATTCAAATGTTTAGCGGTCCTTCCTGATGCTAATCAGGGACTTGTCTCCCACCTTTTGTCTATACTTGGGAACCTTTTAAAACTGCCTTGACTGGACCATTAGTCAGAAAACCCATTCAACTAGCCACCCAGCACCTGGCTAAACCCATCAAGGCTACTGTGAATCCAGACTCAGCCCTTCTGGAACCTCATTGGTCACACCTAGGTCTGGCTCCTCCTGATGCCGTGCCCCCTGGGACCCAGGATTGGCCCAGGTAATCTTTTGTCTTCACCTGAGACAAGCCTCTCAAGCACCTGAGACAAGCTCCTATTGGTCAGCGTTGTTCTCCAAGGTCTATATCTGCCCATGTACCCCCCACTCTCTCTCTTTTGCTCTGCTCCCCCCATAGAACATAACGCTGGCCGTTGGCGCTATTCTCTTCAAGGACTTCTGCACATCGGGGCAGGTAGCATTTCCCCGTAACTGACCCCTCTGTTCGTTATCAATCACCTATGCTTTCTTAGTTCTGTATTCCTTGCTCTTCTTTGAATGGTTAGTGTGCTTGTACTTAGGGAAACTTTTAAATAAAAACTATTTAACTTACTCTTCAAATCTGGAGTCTCTATACTGTACTGGACCTTGGTATAAACTGGTGTATGGTCCCTTGTACCCCTCTGGCCTCTCCTGCCACATAGTTAATTTCCCCAAATGATGAGGCAGGCCATTGGCCTTAACACAGCTTTGATCAAAACACCCACACACACACACAAAGTATATTCTTTGGTGGGATCTACCCTCAAAGCCTATGTGGCTGAACTAGGTTTGATTGACTGATCCCTGGTGTATATTACACCCAATGGACAGAGATTATACTTTTATTTCTTCTGTGCATCATAGTTGTTTCCACTAAAATTGCTTTCTTGTTTCATCTTCTCTGATGCCCCAGATTATTGCCTGTGATATAGATGTTATTGTTATTTCTGATCACCCTCCCATATCATTAGTCTTTCAATTTCCAGACTGGGTTAGACTACCTGGTTTATGGTGTTTTAATTTCTTTTCTTTTTTGAGCCCGCGGAGGGGATTTTTAATTATTTTTTTAACACTACAAAAACTACAACAGAAGAAAAGGGAGAAGAAACTACATATACAGGATAAAGTAAGGAACCCACTACTAACTAAAAGCCCAGGAGAGGAGATCCTCCAACTAGCTTAGTTACATCAAGTCTTCCCATCATTGATCCCTTTATAAACTGAGTCAATCATTTAAAACACTTTTCCTTTAAAGCTTAAATTTAACTGTCTAGAAACAGTACCCCAGATCATCCCATAACAAAAGTCTCAAAGGCACAAAGCAGAGTCCTTCAGCCTTTACTTCTCCTTTCCCCTTCTCTTCCACAGCTTGTAAGGACTTTTGGGGGCTGCTGCCCCTTGCTCTGACAGAGAGTCCTCTCCAGAAGAGCCAGAGTCTAGCTCGCCACTGGACTTGCTGTCCTCTTCTTTTTTTCCCATCCTCTGGCCTTCCCAGCTGAACCCTTAGAAATTCTTGAGCTTTCTGAACAGAGTCAATCTTTTCTTTTTTGTCTTTAATCTTGTTCTTTTTGCCTTCTGGAAATAGTCATTTATATCCAATTGAGTTTGTCTGAAGAAAAAGCACAAGTTCTTTGTACTTCTTTCTCCGTTGTCTTACTTCAAATGGAATATCCTTTAGCGTTCTGATGGTATTTTCCCCCGCTTTCAGGGGTGTTCCAGCAACTGCTTTCAGGATTGCATCCCTCACATGCCTCTTCGAGAATCTTACAACAATTTCCCCAGGCAGATTATTTTTCTTTATGTAGCCTGAATATGATCTATAGACCACATCCATGTCGTTAAGCAGTGATTCCGCCTTCATTTCTGTCACTGGGGCTAGCAATTCACTCATCACTTCTTTAAGATTCTCCCCTCTGTTCTCTGGCATGCCCTGGAAACGAAGGATCAGGTTGGGCTTTTCCATTTGGACTTGCAACAGTTGATCTTCCATGGAGATTTGTTTCCTTTCCAGCTTTTGCACTTTTTTCTTCACCTTCTGGGTAGTTACAGCCACTTCCTTTACCTTCTCAGCATCTTGCTTCCTTATTTGTATCAAATCGTTTATCTGGGTTTGTTGTGCAGTAATGCTTTGAGTCACTATAGACATCTATTCCTTGAAGTTATTCAGCTGTTCCAGCAGAGGGCGCATATAATCCGCTATAGACTTTGCCACCTCACTGGTAACTTCTGGTTTCGGGCTCTCAGACCCTTTCACTTTCAAAAGTTTTTCTCTGCCCTTCTTTCCTGCCATCTTCATTGTTTGTTTACTTTCGCGAATTTTTTAAAAGTCTCTGAATGTGCGCTTGACCGCTTAGATTCGCTTTGGTAAGTACTTCTAGACAGTTTCCCTCGTGTTTTCTTCCGCTCCCCCCCTCAATCGCTCAAACGTTTGTGCGCACGGGAGGCGTCTCTCCCCCGCTTGTCTTTTCTCCGTTCGGTGGGGTGGGGAGCTATCTTTTTCCCTTTACTAAACGCTTCGATATTGACTCACGTTCATAATTGGTCATTGGACCTCGCTTTCATTTCATTTCTGCCGCACTATCTCCTGCGCTTGCCCCGGTCAACGTCACTAAGTCCATTCGGTCTCACAGCACGGAGAACCGTTGGAACGAAGAGGCGCCTCAATTCTCTGGCATTCCGTCGTCGAAGAGGCGACCTCTTAAAAGTTCCATGGCCAGGGTCCCTTTGCTGGGCCCCTGGGGGGGGTTTGCGAATCTGCACACCCCCTTCTTCGACTGGAGCGCAGCTTCACCCCCGGGAGGTCCGGGAGGTGAGTCTGCTAGCATGCTGCCATAAACCGGAATCTTTAAAACTAGTTGCACCTGGGAATTGTAGTTCTCAGTTAGGGGTCCCAGCAGCTTCCCTCTGACTGGCTCATTAGGGTAATTTCCTGAGCTCAGAGGTGCAAAGATAGGAGTTTTATTGCTCTTTTCCTGCTTCTTTGTCTATCTTTACCGCGAAGGAGAAGGGTAAACGCATCTCTTTCTCATCACGGCCATAGAATCGACTTAGATCACAAAGATGTAACTTCTCTACCCAGCTATCAGCTTGATTCTGAGTAAATGA